TCACACACGGGACGCCCCGGCGGCACGAGGACCGCGTGGTCTCCGCACAGAAGAGACACCACATCAGCTGCGGAAGGGCCCCGTCGGCCCCCGAACCCATCCTGACGCCCAGCCTCTCAGGACAGTCACCGACTTTCCTGCGTCCGGGTCTCTTCTCCTCTGTGGCTCACACGTTAGCAAACCGTGGCCCTTGATGAGCCGGGACGCTTCCCGGAGGAAACACCCTCTGAAGACGGTTCCTACGGCCACGGGGGTGCTGCTTTGAGAAGCTTCTGGTTGTTCAAACCTCTCCAACTTAAGGTGACATAACGAGGAACTTCTTGCCCGGCCGGCGTGGCTCAGTGGATGAGCGTGGACCTCTGAACCAGGAGGTCAGGGTGCGATTCCCGGTCAGGGCACAGGCCCGGGTTGTGGGCTCCATCCCCAGTGTGGGGTGTGCAGGAGGCAGCCGATCCATGATTCTCTCTCATCATGGATGTTTCTCTCTCCCTCTCCCTTCCTCCCTGAAATCAATAAAAATATATTTTAAAAAAGAATAACTTCTTAGTTGACTGTGAAAGCTGTTCCCATGATGGCAGCTGGGAGCCTGACACCCACACCCACGCCCGGGGCAGCGCGGGGCGTTTCGCTGCTGTTGCCCGTGGCCGTGCTTGCTGCTGTGCTTTTCCGGTTCAACATCTCATCCCTCTCCCCACGGCTGCGGGGACTGACTGCGGCCAAGGAACCCGTTTCCGGGGAGGGGACAGCAGGACCTGGCCCAAGAGGAGACAGAGTCGTTCCGGGCCAGACAGGGAGGAAGGCACCACTGTAGCCCCCTCCCCATCCCTCTCCTCCAGCTGCCCCCTCCCCCGCAGGGGCTGGCACCTGCAAGCCTGGGGGACAGCCGGCCGTGTTCCCACCGGAACGCAGCTCCGTGGCTGCTGCTGGGGACCTGTCACGGCAGCTCAGTGTGACCTGAACCAGATGCTGACCCACGCATCTCGGAGCTGTTGGCTTATAACCAAGCAAAGTGCCCACTACGTGCGGCCACGACGGGTCGCCTGTCTCCACGTTGAGGTCCCTGAGTGACTCACTGAGCATTTGAGGTGAAAGAAAAGGTTCCTGCAGCAGGAGGTTTCTGTGCACGCGCTTCACACGGGCGGGGGTGGGGGGGGGGCTGAACCACAGCCCTCCCACAGCCTGCCCCCAGAGGAGTGTGCCACCCGAAGGTGAACACTCATCCTCAGGAACAATGTTCTGAAGGTAATGCTGCGTCCAGGTGCTTAACTGTGACAGAACAGCTCTGCCACCTTGTGGCTAACACAACGAACAACTCCCTGTTCCAAATGGACGCACAGAGCCCGATTTCAAAGGGAATGTTCCAGAAAACTGAACTAGAAGAGAAGATGGCGGGGCCATCGCCTTGGCCCAACTTTGACCACCCCCAGTGTTTATGGAACACGTTTGAAACTCTCAGTCAAAACTCATGAGGAGCATTTTGCTAAACAAACTTATTGAGTCACGTATTTCGAGTTTACAGTTCAATGAGTTTTGACCCACGCAGACGAAATGTTACTATCACCCCAACATATACAAATGTCCATCACCCCCAAAATATCCCTCATGACCTTTTGGCCAAACCACCACCCCCTGGCAGCCCTACGCACCCATCTGCTTGCTTCCATGTGAGGCCTGTTCCAGGATTTTCAATAAATTGAACCAGACAGTATTTTTGCTTTGTTTCCTGACTTCTTCACTGAAGGTAATGCTCTTGAGCTTTATCCATCTCACATGTGCGAGTAACTGAGCCCTCCTCACTGCTGATAGCACTGCATCGTATAGAAAGGCCACGTTTACTCATTGTCCCGTGTGTCTCTCGACCCTGTTTTCGCTTTTGCATGTTTTCTCAAAGATCCACACTTTTCCCTTTATGTTTTAGTACATGTCTAGTGGTTGCTCTAGAGTTTATAATATGTCTCTTGATAAAATCATGGTCTACCTTCAACATCTCTCACACCATTTCACTCTCAGTATAAACTCCTTAAAGCAATATCCTTCCATTTCCCCCTCTATTCTTTGTGCCCTTGTTTCTTTGAATTTTGCATATGCTGTAAACTCCATGTGCATTGTCTGTATTTATTTATGCTTTTAAAATCAATAATTTTAAAATAAATTAAAAAACAACGCTCTTTCTTATTTATAAAAACATTTACTATTTCCAGTGTTCTCCGTTCTTCTGAGTAGATCCAAATTTTAATATAGTGTCACTTTCTTTGTCCTAAATGTTTCCTTCAACATTTCTTGTAGTTCAGCTCATCAGACTACTAGTATCCTCAGCTATTTTTGTATGAAAATAATTTTTCCAAAAATATTTTTACTTTATGTAGATACTAGATTGGCAGGGTTTTTGTT